GGCTGACCCCCCAGGGGGCTGAGGGGCGGGGCAAAAAGGGGGCAATTTGGTTATATTGCTATAAACGACTTCTTCTGCAGAACTATGCCATTTATATTCATCATATTTGGTCGGAAGTATTCATGGGAGGCGGGGATTCAAAATTGTACAAATGGTGGGGCTGACCCCCCCCGGGCTAAGGGGTGGGGCCAATAAAATGTATTACTTGGAAATGGTTGAGATCCCCACCATATAACCATATATACAATTGCTGAGTATAAAGAGAAGAATGCACATTTGCTTCCAGGATGTCCGTAGGGTCTGGTCCCACCCTTGGAGACATAGTCCCTGGGCCATAGCTTGAAAACGGTGGGGATTCCCACCCCAAAACTATATATACAAATGCTGGGCATAAAGAGACAAATGCAATCATGATATCAGAATAGACCCTGAGTCTGACCGAAACCCTAGGGACCTAGTTTCTTAGTCACAGCTTGGAAACAGTTGAGAGCCCCACCCTATAACCGTATATATACAATTGCTGAGTATAAAGAAATGATTGTACATATGCTTCCGGGTTGGCCTTGGGGACTGCCCCACCCTTGGAGACTTAACTCCTGGGTCATAACTTCAAAATGGTTAATATCCCCACCCCAAAACTATATATACAATTGTTAGGCATAAAGAGACGAATGCACTCATGACATTAGAATTGATCGCAGGGTCTGCCCCACCCTTGCAGACTTGGCCCCTGGGTCATAACTTTGAAACGGTAGAGATCCCCACCCCAAAACTATATACACAAATGCTGGGCAAAAAGAGACAAATGCAGTCACGATATTAGAATCGATCCTGGGGTCTGGCCACAACTCTAGGGACCTAGTTACCGAGTCAAAGCTTGGAAACAGTTGAGATCCCCACCCCATAACCATACATAAAATTGCTGGGCATGAAAAATCTAATATAGCTATGCTACAAGGATTGGCCTTGGTGTCTGTCATATTCCCTTGATCTCATTTGGAGAATATTTTGCCATGATTGCTTAGGTATCCAGGTGAGCGATACAGCCCCTCTGGGCCTCTTGTTTCCTATGGCAACACATTCGCCTATTTTGAACTGTCGGAATGCTGAGCTTGCCATGTTTTGTTTACATGTGTGTCAAAAGTAAAGATGTAATCGGTTTTGCTAAAAGTGCACAGGGTCACAGGTCATGTTGAAAGAAGTGCGTTGTCTGTGACGTAATAGCGCGTGTCAGCTGTCTTCATCGAGGTAGATCAAGAACGGGAATGTGCCAGTGGGAAAACTGAATCGGCAATGTCAACTGGTACATACATATCTTAAGAGTTTTGTGTACAACCATGTCTGATTATTTTTCTGGTGATGAATTACATCCCATACTAGTTTTCAAAACATTACACAAACACTGGTTGTGCTACTTGAACCTTTCTTCAATCCAAACAACTTGATTTTTTTTTAACAAACATGAATCAAGGCCTTCCAATGCTTCAGTGGAAGTGATAGGCAGATTTTTAGCTAGCTACAGGTGTGTGACATCCGTCAACTTTTGCATAAAACATTTCTTTTCTGACAAGTCCCATTCCGATTAAAATCATGTGTTAAATGGCTTGGTTTAAATTAAGTACTATGCCAGGCATAGTACGAAGTTAACAAAGCTATGTAACAAATGATTTTTATCAGATCGGACTATTCCAAAAATGAAACGTGTACAAATATAGATGAAGGGGAATCTGTTTACAAAATTTTGGTAAGATCTGTTAAGTACTTAAAGAAATAAAAAGAAGGTAATGATGATTTTCTTTTCAGAAATGATTCATTAAAGCTAGGTATAGTCATGTTGGAAAAAAATGTTTCCATTGCACAGTTTCAATGTTTGGTAGTGGTCTTTAACACGCTCTGGTAACAAAGGGGCAGTTCCAAATAAAAGATAATACTTGAAGGGCTTTTACTTGAAAATGATCTGACAAAATTCAATGTAATCTGGTAATTGCTGTATCCTTGGGTCAAAGACTTCACTTTGTAATGCAATATAAATAAACACAATGAATAGCTGATAAAATATAAAGCAATAATTTATTCAATAAATCACATTTTTCACTAATCAACATGTATAATAGCATTCAATGTTATTAGGGCACATCTGCTCCTGTTTGCAGTATAGATCCACATGTTGGACAGGAAGGTATTCACAATATTCAACTGGCTTATTTATGAGTAACCAAGGCTGGTGAAACCTATTCTGGTTGCACTCAAGCTTTTTAAAATCAATTTTCAATGTTGTAAGTCATCAAGATAATTTATAGAAGCGAACTCCCCATTTCAAAACATAACAGTATTACACATATATACTGACTTATATGACTATAGTATGAGTTTGAAACATTCCAAAACATTTTCTTTACTGAACACACTACATGTATTCCCCTAACAACAGTCAACATCTGTGTGTTGTGGTAATTTGGCGGAATCTTGTCAATCTGCATTCAGATGCAGAACATAAATGATTTTGTAGTCGGGATGACTTATGCATTGTCTGATTTTTTACACAGTTTTCAAGAGCTGGCAGCTCTATCCTATTCAATCCTCTGGAAACAATTTTTTGTTCCCTACTTATTGGAAATAATAAAACGAAATACGATACTTAATTTACACAATAATTCCGTGAGGGTCGAGTACTTCCTATATTACAAGTCTGAAGTGTTAAAACACCTGGGAAATGTTCTTGATTACATCAAGCATGTTCCTTATACTTCTTCTACCAGCAATCTTCTCAATGTAGCTGTAAATTTGTTTTCCTTTAACCAAGTCAGTCAAATACTATAGACATACATAGTTTAGCGGTTTTCTAATTTTTGCGTTTTATGCACTTAGGATATTGCACTAAATTATGACTACACTAATTGAAGTTTCTGTACAAATATGAAATATTAAACTATTAAAAAGGGTATGTGATGTTCAGTCACACAGAGATGTGACGTTAAACTGTTTCTGGCGACTCCAGCCAGTGAATCAAACTGTATTCTTGGTGTGTATTCTAAATGTCAAGGACGAAGCCAGGGAGGAACGAACCAACACACCACTTTTTTGCATGTACATAGAAGAATGCTACACACAGCTTAACTGTATGGAACTAAAGAGAAAGAATTTCTCATTCAAACATTCTGTTATAAAAAAAAATGTATATTAAGAACAAATTCCCTGTCAGGATTTGTCTCCCCTGACGGTATCATTGTTCTCACTACTCTGCTTCTCTTCTGCAATTTTTGCCTGCTGTGTCTGCAGAAAACGCATAACCTCTGGAGATCTCATCAAAGCCTACAATGTGGTAAGAAGATGTTCATTAGTAACAGCAGGTGAAATTTAGGTACAAGGAATAGCTAGAAAAATACATGAACAATTTAGTAAGGGCTATTCCATAATTACTCATATGGGGGAGTTGGGAGGCACATATGGATGGTACGGTTAAAACCAGATCTGCCTACCATTCCTAATACTAAAACACTTTTAATAGTTGATGGGTGGTCTCTGAAAAAGTGCCTCTAACTCCTCCCATATGGTTATTTCTTAAACAGATCTAATATGTCTTAGTATGAGAATCAAATTTGATTATTTAATTAATTTAAAGTGCTAATCATTAAGTTTCATCCATTAAGCCAATGACATAAGTGGGTAAATCATCAGTTACCAGGCCTCCGTCTAGAGTATGGAAGGCCCTGGGTTCAAATCACGTTTTGGCCATGCATTTCCCTTTCTCCTGTTACAAAGTTAGCAGCTTGCCAACGCTTGTTTTATGTGCGGAGTTAATGCTTGGTAAGGGGTTACCCGAACCGGTGTTGTAAATAGTTGTCTTTGGGGGCGGAAACTAAGGAAATGAGGGAGGAATGTAGTGGAACTGGACTGGGTCGATCATCAGTGACCAGGCGTCTGTCTAGAGTTTGGAAGGTCCTGGATATAAATCGTGGTCTGGCCATGCATTTCTCTTTCTCCAGCCGTGCAAGAGTGATTATATTCTTGAGCTGTTTTGATGTCTTCCCTTATTACCCAATATGTATATTTAATTTGCACTTACTTGACCTTTGACCTAGAAGTGAAAGTCACAGTGACCTAATAACAGTGCAATGAACACCTTCTCGGGGTAGTACAGGTGAGCTACAAGTTTTATCAATATATCTTATAACGGTTTTAAACTTTGAATACAACCATGACAAGATGTTAAAAAGAAGATCAAAGTACAATAAATCTAGATATTTTCATTTGAAAAGCAGACAACTAATACCAGTGAAAATAGACCAACTGAGGTGTCTGTTTACATAAAATTCAAATAATTTATGCAAATTTTACAATGGACAAATCCGATATATATTGTATATCAACACATAATACAATGAACAACACTATCAGCATATCATACAATGCACTTTTATTTGAAGGTCTTACCATCTTTTTATCAGACAGAACATCATCTAGAAGGCTTGGTCTCAGCCCTAACTCTCCTCCCACATTAAAACACTCTGCAGACCCTGATGACTGGGAACTCTCCACTTTCCCGGGGGACATGGATGGCAGCACTGCACCATCTACTCTCCCATGCTAAAATATAAAGCATTAAAACTAATGAAAATATTTGAATATGCATGCATTCACAAAATTTCAGAAGGACAAAGATGTAACCCCCACAAAGTCAGATGGAAGAAAATCTCCCACAAGGATCTTTCTTTTGGTGTAGATTATGCATGCATGTTTTTTCTCAGTATATTTTTAATCAAAAATTCAATATGGAGAAAAAAATCAAAAGGGGGATAATAGAGGAAGATGTGTTTTGTGTGTTATAATGATTTTACCTTGTTTACAGTTGCCTCATCTAAGATTGTAGGAAGTCAAAGCTGTTGCATGCTACATAGAAAGCGTTTAGAAAGAAATCAAGCTCGTTTGTTTGTCTGATTTGCATTGTTTTACAGCCAATCAACAAATTAAGTCACTTTTTAGGCCAAACAACATTGAAGGAAAGATGTTTACATAAAGAAAATATGTCAAACTAAACAAAGTCAAAAGCTTATGTAGCAAACAAAACGGTTAAGTGTGAAATAATATACATTGTTCATTGTATTAGTTCATATAGTTCATATAGCGATGACGCCGATTGAAAGCTGTGAGCTTCTTGGGTGCGTTTGAATATATGTTTAAACACTTGTTAAAAACTCTTTTCACTTCCGGTGCATATAGATAGACCTACTAATGTCAAGAATAACAACTTGCGCGGAATTTTGTTGGGTGATCCGATCAGAATTTATTCAGTCTGTTCTTAAAAGTGTCCACAGTTGGAAAATTGACCACATTATCGGGTAGACTGTTCCACACCTCTACAACTCTATTGCTGAAGAAGTTACTATATATGGCCTTATTTGTTCTCCAAAACAAATGTTTTCTTGTATTGAGATACAAGATCACTTGAATGTAAATAATCACATATGAGTGTCACAGAAACTGTATCAACATTTTCATAGATGGTGCATCATCATCACCTTTTGTTTAAAATCGGAACATTCAATCATCATGTTTGGCTATAAAACAGTTGGTTGCAAGAATGACAATGCATTTGCTTTCATAAAAAACATCATTGCATTTCTAAAAATATCTGTGTGCCTACTTGTTGTGGTGTCATAGAGTAAAATAAGGTAAGGTGTGAATTTTCATGAAATTGTTAACACAATATGTTGTGTCAATTTTTGAGATAGATGCAATTTAGGTAGATTTAGGCTAATTATTATTTTTCACTAATTACCTTCGACTTTAACAGCTCTTTTCCCGAGTTATCCCTTTTGATGTCCACAGTGAATCCCCCACTAGCTCCAAAATCAATATGGCCGGTGTCCATATTTACACTCTGGGATTCCTCAGTTGTAGATTGTTCCATGTCTACTTCCATAACAACAATAAATATATAAAATCCCAGTCGGACCTAAGGTAATAGTTTCTACGGGTAAAACAAGCTATAAAATGTGGTCTATTGATACCACTTGTAACACATTCTAGTGTCAATACCAGTCAGTAGATAAACCAGCTACGTCAGGTGTTATTGAACAATCAAAAACATCAGGCAGTACCATTTCACCAGGAATGCATTGGGATCTAAAAAGTAATGAACAAGTTTGTCATTTACTGTTGTAATAAAAGTATATGTACGTCACAGAATAAGGGAGTAAGAAAATGTTGTATTCAAACCATCTTGCTATACAAACTTACAAAGTTTTGGTTTTAACATTGGTTTAGGTTGAACGAGGAAGGTATACATTTGGAGATGTGGGATGATACTTTTATATGTATTTTAGCTATATCTGTCATTTCCTTTTCACATGTCATGTCATGTAGTTTAATACATGCTCTTTTTCCACGTTTTTATGAGAATCACATTTTTACAGATGTGTTGCAGTAATGTTCTTACTGAAACTTGCACTGTGAGTTTAGTTTTATCAGTGTTGGTTATGGAGGAAGTACATTATACAGGAAATATGGGACTATGGCTGACAACCTTTGCTGACCTATAAAAATGTTTGTTTAAAGCAAAAATAGTGAGAGTACCATGAATATTTTGTGTCATATGGTATCCTTTTTAATCACTATCAAAAGCAATCTGTGTTGTAGTTACATTAATAAAATTGAGAATAGTATTTCAAATCAATTACTGAGCAGCATACTTGAAGATCAACTCATTTTAAAGATTTAAACACATAAATATCAAATGTCTGAATCCACACTTCCATTTTGTTGACAGTAAATAGTCAGATTTTTAAGCACTGGTTATATAAATTATTTACATAGAATGTTTTGGTGATGTCACATATGTCAATAATTCTGTTCAGTGCAACAATCTTGATATACCCATCCACCCCTATATGTTTAAACTAAGCTTACCCAGTCTTTGATATGGAAAGGTTCAAATGTGACTTTAGGGGTAAATGGTGTTTAGTGTTACTCATTAATCATTCTTAAATCTAAAACTTCAGAGAGGTCTTTCTCTTCATCTACAGCACACCTACTTCTCCAGTTCTACAGAATACTGTCATCTCCTCTCCCACCAGTACTTACCTGTAGTCTCAGTGGTCCAGTCTATATATAGAACATGTGACCTTTACCTTCACCAGTTCTACTTTAGGAGAAGCTACCACTTCCTCTCCCACCAGTACTTTCTTGTAGTCTCAGTGGTCCAGTCTATATATAGAACATGTGACCTTCACCTTCTCCAGTTCTACTTTAGGACCTCTCCCACCAGTACTTACTTGTAGTCTCAGAGGTTCAGTCTATATATAGAACATGCGACCTACACCTTCTCCAGTTCTACTTTAGGGGGAGCTACCACCTCCTCTCCTACCATGAAGTCTTCCTGTAAACAAAAGACATTGATTAAAGGGGCATCACACTGAAGTAACTTTTTTTTTTGTCTTTTTTTTCAAATACTACATAAACATATCAAGTGAGACTCCTTATGGAAAATGACGATCGGATTTGGCTGAAATAGATTCATAAAAATGATTAAATCTAAGATAATCATCGGTATTTCTACCTTTCTGACCAACGTTTTGTTCAGGGATTTCCCTCTACCGGCGCATGCGCATAGCACACCAGTTCTTTGTAAACAAAATGACTGGCCGTGTGAAGTAAGCGAAAGAAAAGTGTTGTACCGTGTCAGCTACAAAGCGAAAAGTTGCCAAATGGTCAAAAGATAGCGCAAGGGGTACGTTACGGAATCATTATTGCCTGTGGGAAGTATTCAAAGCAGAAAATGACTGCCCTAGCAGTTAGTACGGTGCATGTATTCTTCCGGATAGCCGGTTAAGCTGAAATGAAATCGACAGAAAGTGCTAGCGCTGTTTATTTTATGAATAAATATCTAAAACTATTAATCTCGCTAGTATCATTGTGCGAGTTTGAACACAGATGAACTTAGTTTAATATGTTAATGGGCATGTATCGGAGAAAGTTTACTTTGTGTTTTATAATTATACAGTGGTATATGCGAAAGGAAGGGATAAGTGAATGGTTAGTTTGATTTTGCCACGAGGCCCTCGAAGGGATACCTGTTGTAATGGCCAGGGCGTATTCTGTCCTCTCCTCTGTGGGTACTCGTGATCGGGGTCAAATGAGATACGTGCGCTATTAGATTTACATAATTTATAATATTACCGGGATCAATAAAATTGTATGATTTATTATATTGCTGAATTAAACGATTTTTTTTGTTTTGACATGCAAGATTTAAATAAGTACTAATATGAATACCGGCCTCCTCTGGCGCGACGACGCAATACATAAAAAATATCGCTCTTCGTCAGAAAGCTACGTTATCGCAGCTAGATTAAAAATGTCAAAATGACGGACCAGGATGAATAACTGAGGAAGGAGAACCTACTTCTAGTAAATAGGATCGCATAACATTATTTTTTTTAAATCGTAATTTTTCAACAGTTCATATTTTCATATGATGTTGACTTAGAATGCATGATCATGTAACAACCTTTTCTCTATAAAGAATTAATTTTCGACTTCAGATAGAATCGGAATACGTTTTGAAAACAGGGGAAAAAATATTTGATCATGTTGTAAAAATTGCGCGTGCTACCGATAACTACGGCTTCTGTTTCGGACAAAAGGAACTGATTGAAGAAAAGTTGTCTCAACATAAAAAGGTCCATTTACAAGTATTCTTTAATCTCTGTAAAGTATTGAAAAAATATAATTATCAAGTATCTCAACACGTTCCTCATTGACACATATTCTACATGTACACGTAGTGGTTTTGCCATACAGTTTATTGTGTGTGATGGCTAATATGACTTACTAAGTGTTAACGCGTATGGAGACAGTGAAAGTGGGAAAGAGAGTATACATACATTTATATGCCTGGTCTAGAAAAAGAATTGGCCAAAGACATTGAGTTGTATAATGTAATAAATAAATTCACAAACGTTTCCTTTTTTATTCGCGTGTAGCTTGTCATTGCATAAATGCACTTTATGTAAACATTTGAAAAGGGATATTCGTCTCGTGAATATTCCTTTTTACAGAAAGGGTTGTCCCATGGTTGAGGGAAGGTGTTTAGCCTCATACCATCTGTACCGGTCACATTCCGGTACTAAATTCAATATAGATTTATATATATCTACTTTATGTTTATGCCTATTATCATTGTTGACATTTAATTGTAAATGTATGACGGGAGAAGGCTGTGACTATAAATTTTAACAAGAGGCCCAAGGGCCTTAGCGGTCACCTGAGTTATATCATAGATACTGGTAGCTTTATTTTATTGTTTAGATGTGATGTGGAAATCAGCATGTAAACTAAGTGAAATACAATACTTGTCATGTCATCAATGGATAAGAATTTGAAAATATTGGTAAATGTTCCCTTTGGGGCCCCGCCCTAGCCCCTGGGGATGGGGCAGGAATCCTAATTTTACAAAGTAAAACTCTCATTTACCCAAGATGATTCTGACTAAGTTTGAGCAATTTTCTGCTGAAAATGGATAAAATATATACCGAAAAGTGTTATTTCCCTATATAAACTATAT